ATCGTACTACCAGTTATGCCTCCGATGGAAATTCCGTCCTCATTCTCTCGCATCCTACCTCAAATAGCGTTCATGTCTCACCGAATCCTTCTCCACCAGTTGACGCTCTTCGTCTTCGACACCCATTGAAACTAGTCACATTTAACGTGCGTACCTTGATGCGTATAGGGCAACGGGCGGGTTACTTTCGGGTTGCATCCAAGAAGCTGGCAAGACTCTAGCTCCGCGATCTGATTAACGTCCCCGTCAAACCCACCCGCGAAGTTTCACCTGTATCTTTCTGGGGACTCTGAGGCTGCAGCTTCTGGTCTTTCTGGCCTTGGTGTGGCTCTCAGTGAGAGCTGGAACCGCGCTCCTGGATTGGACCCTAGTCGACAGGTTATGCGCAGTGAGACTTAGAGGCTCTTGCAAAGTAAATATTCGTCGCTCCGAAAGACGCAACTTATTTGTCGTCTCAGCGTACGCACTTACATACTGTAGCCCAGATACAGTCAAATATACTTTCTACCAAAAGCTACATGACTTCTTGCGTAAGGCAAATCGGGCTGATATTTTAATAGATATAAATGCCAGAGTAGACCGACTGACTTCGAGTGATGCGCATCTGGGTTGTATTTTCGGACTAGATTCCTGTCGCTTGGAAAACGGGCAACGGCTGTTGGCTCTATGTTCTGACCACCGCCTATTCCTCACCAGTGCGAACTTCGGACGTTCCAACTGCCCATACGCCACTTGGTGTTTACCCTCCTCGAATCAGCGAAAAACACAGATCGACCACATCGCTATTAGCCACAAATGGCGGAGTTGCATGCAAGACTGCCGACCGTACTGGACCACTGCCCTCGAATCCGATCACGCATTAGTTTGCACCAAGCTATCCATGTGGGTGTCCTAAACGTACGACACAGCGGCGGTTAGACTGCAGTAAGTTGTCTCAACCAGCATACTTAGCCGTCTTTCAAAAAGCGCTAGCTGACAAGGTAGAACCAACCCCACCGGAAAACATCAATGAGCACTGATCACTTATCAAGAATGCTCTGCATTCTGCTGGCTTATTTAGTTGTGGTCTGACACGCCGTGTCCTGACACCCTGGATTTCCGCTGAGTCTCTGCGCCATCACGACGAGACTGCACCTTGACGTGGTGTGATGGCTTGTGCACCTTTCTGACACAACGAGCTATACGGGATGGCTTTTGTCAAGCCAGGAGATCTTATCATACCTGGAAGGTCAATGAGTGGAGGTCAGACGAAGTCCAGTCTCCTGGTCCTCCAGTTTGGGGGTTCGACTCGAGTTAGCGTTTCAGTCGGTAAAATGGTAGAGGAGCAATTGATCCAAGTAAATGGGTCTCTGCTTCTCTTTGTCCGCTGCCTTGCGGTCAGGTTCTTGTCAGAACTAACGGCTTTGGTTGGGAACCCTAATCGTTCTCCTGCTTAGTGACTGTACACCCTGACAGTACCCGCCCATCAAACTCAAATGCATACAACCGAAAATAATACAGATAGGTCAACAAGCTTATCTGGCGCGTGCGATGGAATCCTTGGGTATCGATATTTGTTGCGTGTTGGAGACTCGTATCTAGGATCCTACTACTATGAGTCACTTGAACGCGCCAGATTTGTCTTCGAGATACGTTCTTCGCAAATCAGGCGACGACGAAGCCCGCTTAGTGGGTCAGCGCGGGGTAGTTATTGTACTCAGTAACAGGGCGGAGTCCCCTCTTATCGATTGGATCCCCGTCGACAGTCGTTTATGTGCAGTGCGGGTCCAGGGTTCAATCAGCGTCCGGAAAGGAAGCAACATAGAAAGGTGTTTGTTTAACTGGGCAAGTAGACAAATTTTGCTATCTGGGTAGCTATATCTCACCCGGCGGACGCATCACAGATGAAGTGTCGGTGCGCATACAAAAGGCTCGGTTGGCATTTGCGCACTTGAGACATTTGTGGCGCCGTCATGACATCCGGCTGTCTGTGAAGGGTCGAGTGTATGCTGCAGCAGTTCGGCCAGTCCTGCTCTTCGGTGCAGAGACTTGGCCACTAAGGGAACAGGTTAAAAATAGATTATCGGTGTTCGAACACCACTGTCTACGTAACATTGCACGTGTCTGGTGGGGTAACCGGACTAGCAATGCTGAGGTTAGGCGTAGAGTTTTAGGCAGTCGCGGTCGTCCACTAGATCAAGTGATGGACCTCCATAGATTACGCTGGTTGGGACATGTGTTACGCAAGTCGCCAGATAGGTTGCCACGGCGAACGATGTTTGCCAAGGCTGGTAGCGATCGGAAAAAGGTAAAGGGTAGTCAAACTAAGACCTGGCATGAAGGTATGAAAACCCTAACCAGGAGACCAGGTCACATAGGCCCCGTTAGGCTCCCTGGCTGGGAACCTCGGGATGATGGTCACCGATGGTTAGCTACACTGAGTGATATGGCTGGGTGTCACAAACAGTGACACTCGTGTATCCACTCGTTATTCTCTTAACATCACTCTATATGAATTCCCCACCTTCCGCTTGAATTTGCTTCGACATTCCAATCTTCATTTTGCTCTTTCATTCAAAAGACAGCAACCAAAACCGGCACACGAAAGTGCATAGTTAATGGTTGTAGAAACTGAACTGTTTGTTTATCGTATCAGCATATGCACCGACCAATTGCAGTTCTGATACCCAAAAGGACGCCTTCTACGATGAACTTACCGATCTCATTCGGATGAGTCAAAGCTCCGGCATAGTTGTACTTTCAAATGACTTGAACGCGCAGGTTGGAAAACTGAGCGCATCAGCTTGCCTAGGCGGGAGTTGTGTTCTACCCAGCCAACAAACAGATAACGGCGATCGGCTTCCTCATTCTTGCGTAGACCATCATCTGTTCCTATCCAGCACCAATTTCCGACACAGCTCTCAACGGACAGCAACGTGATGCTCAAATTCAACTGGCACGCTAACTCAGATCGACCACATAGTAGTAAGCTATTGTTGGCGTGGCGCAGTACCAAACTGCGGGTCCTATCGGACTACCTGCGTCGAGTCTGACCACGCATTAGTTTTGGTGCAGTTCACTCTCCGACGGACTGGCCGGCGACGAATTCACGAAACTCGTACAGCTCACCATCGACTATCTGTTCCAGCAGTTCGTGTGCGCTATGAATCAAAGCTAGTGTGTGAGTTAAGCGCTCCTCAACATAGTGATGTAGATGAGCAGTGGGATCAAATTAGCCGAGCAATGCACTCCGCAGCTAATCTTGCTTGTGGGTCTGAGCATCAAACCCGTCGGAGGTATCGGATATCTCAGGAGTCAGTCGCACTGATGGAGAAAATCCCAACCAGCCGGGATCCAAATAGTTAGGTGGTGTCTACAACGTCAACTGGTGAGGAGCCTCAAGAAAGACCGTGAGAACTGGTGGGCGACGATAGCTAGTGAAATGGAAGTAGCGGATGCATTAGGGAATAATCAAAGGCTATTCCGACTGATACGCAAAACGGGAGGTCGGCGAACCACAGTTAGTGAAACAGTCTGTGATAAGAGGGGACAAGCTACTCACAATCAGGATCAACAACTCGATCGCTTGGTAGAATACTTTAGCGAACAGTTCAGCTGGTCAGGCGCTAACCAGGCTGTTTCATCTGCAACTGAAGCTCCGTGGGCAGTGTCATGCGATCCTCCAGCAGAAGCAGAATTTCGGTCTTGCATATAAGCTCTGAAGCGAAGAAAGGCAGCAGGACCGGATGAGCTCCCTCACACTTTTTTCAAGATGGGAGGTGTTAACCTCGTAAGCTCTATTACTACCCCACTGCGCAACATTTGGACGCAAAAACACACTCCTTCATCTTGGGGCGAATCACTGATCGTTCCCATTTTCAAGAAAGAATCTCGCAGCGATTGCGAAAACCACCGCGGGATCATTTTGATCCCGATCGTCACTAAAGTGCTAGCTTCGGTCATACTTCGACGTCTGAAGCCTTTAAGAAAGACCAAAATCCGTGAACAGCAAGCCGGATTCCGGCCTGGCCGTGGATGTGTTGATCAAATTTTTACGTTGCGTCAGATCGTTGAGCTGCGTCACGCCCACCGTCGGCCAACGATCACAGTGTACCTTGACCTAAAAAGACTTAGTTGATCGCGAAGCTCTGATGGACTCCCTTCTTGGAAAAGGAATGCCCCAGAAGTACGTTGTTCTACTGAGATCACCGTACTCACAGACCTCCGATCGTGTAAGGGTTTACGACAATCTAAGTAGGCTGTTCGTCACCAGCAGTGGCGTTCGTCAAGAGTGTCCTCTTTCGCCGGTACTGTTCAATTTCGTCGGAGACGAAACACTGGAGAACGCACTAAGTGGACTCCAAAGTGTAGGTATTAAATGGGCAACTGGAGTAAAGCTGTGCGATTTGGAGTACGCCGATGACATCGTCTGTCTGTTTGAATGTATGGGAGACGCGCAAACCGCACTTGATAGATTAACAAGTGCAGTTGCCACATTCGGTATGTGCTTTGCACCCTGAGTATTCTAGAAAATATGGTCGATAACCGATAGTAGAACTTTCCAAGGAAGAGTTGGTCACTGAGATTGAGCAAATTATGAACTCACGCAACTGCAGCACATCACAAATTCTCTAGAATCTCTTTCGGTAGTTTCTTATTAATGGACTTCGATTTCCCATAGAAATAGTCCAGTTTTCAAAAAAATATTTGTCTTCCTAACATCTGGCTTCTACCCAATGACGATCAAATCTAACAAGCCTTCTCACGGGCTCATGAGATATGCAAGACGGTGTACTCTATCAGCCTCGCCCTAATGTTTGTGAGGAACAATAATTATTACATTTTTATGAAAACTGCTATTTTCAATATGTTTGCCTCGTTGGACCGTGTTGTGGTCCTACATCCACTTGTGGACCATGGTATGCAAAAGCCACTGACCGAAACATCCACGGGCACGGCTTTCAGTACCCTCTTTTTCCTTCACATCTACTTAAAATATGTTTTCATTTATCTAGCCTCCAATGGCAAAGCCAACTATTGCTGAGTTGTATACATATTACGACACGGTATCTAGTGAAAATGCCACGCAAGAAGAAGTAAGTCAAAATACGCTCTTAATGATTGCAATAACTCCACAGAAAGAGCTCGCTTACCGCGGAATCTTAGCTGGCACGAAAGGTGATGACAAAGAAAAAAGACTGGCGTGTCAGTTTATTGCTAGGTTCTCCAAAAAATTTGAAAATCTGAAAGAAGAAAGCTTTAACTGCATTTTGGATCTGTGTGATGATGATGATTCTAACATCAGAAAGCAAGCAGTACATGATTTACTCCAATTATGCAAGCGTATTCCGGCGTTCATACCCCGTGTGGCGGATGTTCTAGTTCAAATGTTCCAATCCGAGGACAGTGCGGTAAGTTCCATGTAACATACTCTAGTTGTATTTCGTAAGGAGTTGCATCTTATTTCACTGTCCTTGTCACAGCTCCTTCATTTGGAACCTAAAGCCACACTGGCTGGGATTTTTAACCAAATGTTAACCGTTAACCCAGACAATCCTAGAGAACATATTATGAAATTTTTATCCGAGCGTCTCAAACATTTGCCCGAGAATCTTTTGACCACTGAAGTAGAAGAATTCGTGGTGGACCAAACGAACAAAGTTCTCACGGACGTTTCAGAAGAAGAATTCCAGTTATTGATTTCCATACTCTCGTCACTGAAGTGCATGTCCTCCGTACCAGGACGGCAAAAGCTGGTGTGTATGATTTCTGATCAAGCACTCCAGGCTTGTCCGCAGTTTAATGTGAGTTGTCATATTATCTTTTTGATATTGCAATTAAGGCAACTGATCCTGCCTGTGTGGCACAGATCCGCGAAAGCTGTCGACAAGCTGCTCTGTGTGTGTCAGTATGTCTCTATTTGTATTTGTCGACAAGCGTTACCTGTTGTAGAAAAATGTCCATGCGACCGAATTGTTTAACTATCTGCTACAGAAGGTCATACCAGTCATGACAAAGATCCCGAATGAACTGGCAGATGACAGATTAAGCCTTTTACGAGCAATGGCTGAGTTTTCTACCCATCACGGACCAGCGCTATCCGCCATATCGATAACTGAACTTACCACTCATATGACTGCTCTGTTTGATACCTTGGTACATTTTCTACCAGAAATACCCACCACAGAATCGGGGGCAAAGGTGAGTTCATTCATTTTATAGTTTGATTAATTTACACCAAAATAGGTTACGGAGAGCGAGAAAGCAAATGAATCTGAGACACCAGAAAAGCTAGCTTTTCCGGCGGGACTTAAATTTTCAGAATTAGAGTGCCTGTTATACGTTGCTTGCCAACTTGGTCGTTGTCGACCGCAGTTTTACGGAGGATTCTCCACTGAAGAAGAACGCGAAACCCCAGAAGTGCTTGAGGGTATTGCTCGGTTGAAATTAGTTCGACCTCGTTTGCAATATCTCGGCCAAGTTGCTCATGAATACGCTCAGTCGATCGCTGGCAATTTGACAGAAAATGGACAATCCGAAGATAACAAGACAAAAGTTTTCGCTCATCGAGTGAGTTGAATAAGTTTATTTCTGCTTCCTACAGAAATCGCGATGAATTGGATTCAGAATTTTTTACGCTTCTCTTGTTCTCGTCTCTGTCATACCATTTAATCTTCACTAGCTCTGATTAAAAGTGCGCACCTTGTCACTGGGATCTTTACTTAGGCCAGCACATGCCAAATGGTCAGTTCTATCGATGTTTTAGTTTCGGTTTTTACGACCATCAACCGTGCATTTTTATGCACCGGTTTTTGGTTACTGTCTTTGGGCTGCCCATTTGGATAAAAGAGCACCGGGAAGAATGGAATGTTGAGGGCAAGTTCAAACGGAAGATGGAGAATGGATGTTGATGGATTGCAAGAATGACGAATAGATGCGCTAACGCTACTGTTTGCGATACCCAGCCTTATCACTCACTGTCTCTAACCACCGGTTACCATAGTCTCGGGCTAGGAAGCCTAAAGCTACCTATGTAACCCGATCTCATGGTTAGGGTTTTCATGCCCTCATGCCGGGTGTTGTCTTGACCACTATTGGCTTTTTCCACCCAGTACCTACTTCGACAAACATCGCGCGCTGTGGCAGCCTATTGGGCGACATGCGCATCACATGTCTCAACCACCTTAGTCTATGATGATCGACCATTAGCTCCAGTGAGCGGCTGGAACTCTGCGCCCAACTTCGGCATTGCTTGTTCGGTCACCGCACCAGATTCGTCCAATGCCGGTAGAATCTTTCTTTTGTCCACTTCTCATCGACGTCAATTTTTCTCCTTCACTTATGACTACAACGTTTTGGGACTATCCTTACCTTCTCTTCCATATTTACCCTGTGTTTATTTACTTGCTTGCAGTGCTGGCCGAAAGATTGGTTTTCTCTTCCGTTCCAAACGTTTTTCACTTTTCCGTCATCTCTCACTTAGCAATGCTCAGATTCGCCTTACACTTGGATATTGTAATCATATGTAAAATGAAGCTTCGTCTGTCTCTCTGTCTCTTCTTTACCATATTTCAGCCCAAGGCCTTTCATCATGCAACATGCAACTTACAGTCACTCGTCTACCGCCAACCAGTCGCTTCATTATTCTTATTCTACCGACACTATTTCGCTTTTTGATCAACTGAATTTACCTCTTCTACCTCTCTCCTATTTGTTCTTCCTCGATAGTCCCGTACACAAATTCCTGGGCACCCACTCCAGGTGACTATACCCGTGTGTGATACTTCTAATTTTCAATCATCACTTTTCGCAAGAGTGACGCAATTGTGGAGTACTCCCCGTTTCCGTCGTTTCTTAAACATCTAACGTCCTTTCCTTTAAACACACAATCACCCAGCCGGTTTCATCTCTGATATATTTTCTTTACTGTCCCATGCACAGTATATCCGAGAAGTTTTATTTAAATATTACGATCTCTTTATACTAATAGTCGAAGTTCAGCACGAATTCACCGGGGAAGGCAGTGTTCGTCAAAGTGAAAGTTCTATTATGGACGATTTAACGAAGCTAAAGCTTATCATGCCTCATAGGATTTTTACAGAATCTTTGAATAACTTAAAAAAGAGAAAATAACAATGAATAATAATGTGTGCGATCACTCACGGATGTTGAAATTTTAAGTGTTCCAATGCTTTATCAAGTTGCGATTTAAATAGTTCAGTAGTTCAGATGGAAGAGAATTCCGTACGCCGCATACTGACTGCAAGCGAGTGTCAGAGTTGCCCTCTCTCATTTTGCACTAGCTGTTGTTTTGCAAACAGTCCTGTCTTCGTGCAAGGATTGCGGTCGCGATCTGCTCCCATTTGGTAGACTATGGTCCGGAGTTTGATGAAGATATTTTACCGGTTGGCCTTGACCACCGACTCTCGCTGATGTAGAGATCACTCCAGCAAATTAAGATGTGAGAAAACAGTCAAAATCCCTTGCTAGATAGACGTAGGAGCCGGGTACCTAGGGCTTCCTCTCGACAGAGAGAAGTCTTCGCACTTCACTGGACGGCTACCGCCCCCTAAAACTGGGCACCCCCCAGCAATAAGTTGTTGTCCCGTTCATGTTCCGTCTGTTTCATTGGGTGCATGTGGCCTAGGGCCGACTTTGAATTGTGGACCGTCAATCAACGTTCCAGCGAACAATACACTGAATTGAAACAGAAAAGTATTGCGTAACAGGTCTCTAGAAGCCGCCCGCACCAGTGCTCTGGCCGCAGCACTGCGTTGGATCTACGCACACTTACCTTGCAGGTCAGACCCTAGAGTCGAAGGCTTCCATTGTGGTTCTCAAAGCAAAACCAATAAATTCCCGCTGCCTTGCGGATCAGACTTTTGAGTGAAAGGCTCTGATCAGGGGTCCCGAAGAACAACCTCTTCATCGGCGTGGGCTGCTGCGAAATGTGCCGTGTCCTTACGGTTTAAGTAACCGTTTGGAAAGCTCGCTCTCTCACACACATCTGTTGACGTCTTCCTCTCACGTCCAAATCTTATGAGATGCCGTCTGTTTATACCACCCATTGATTATCACTTAGCGTTTAACTAATAAGGACAAAAACCAGAAGATATCAAGTTTTTTAAACCAAAATTTCCTTTTCACTTGAACGCATTTATTGTCCGCACACGATATCAGATTAGCCAACAGGCCTCCTTAGCTAGAATCATTGAAACTTTCGATTTAGACATATGTTGTACCTCCGAAACACGCACATGAGATCCTGCTTCAATCATCACTGCGTTCTGCAGATCCGACCTCATCTTTGCGCCACACTCTCCGTGTGCCACGCGATTCGACATCCGACCTTCGCGGCGTTGATGGAGTCGGGATCGCTCCAAGTGTCAAAGTCAAGTGCCCGTTTTTTGTCTTGATTTCTTTCAGTAACCGACGGCGCTGTGCGTTTCAACGGTTTAGTTCGGGCCATCGGCTACGGAACAAAGTTGCAATGCTTATTCGTCGTCTCCATATATGCACCGACTGATTGCAATTTGATGATGAAGGATGAAGGATCTCTCTCAACCATAGAAGTCATCGTAGTCGCCGGAGACTTAGATGCTCAAGTGGGATCCCTGCACCAATCAGAAAGATTTCTTGGCAGTCCATATATAATCCCAACCAACGGACAACGGAAATATCCTTTTTCGGCACTGCGCGGACCACGGATTGTTCCTGTCAAACACTAGTTTCTCCCACCAGGGACGACACTGTATTACATGAAAATCGCTACCTCCTTCACTTTGATGGACGGAAATCGATCACATCACCATCAGATAACGCTAGAGTGGATCCGCTCTCACTGGTTAACAGCCGTGGGCACGGTCCATGCTCTCTTGCGAGCCAGATTCCACTGCACCTTGTAAACAAATGCAAAAGCCACCAGAAACGGATACCTACAATACAATGTTAACGATAGTTACAAATCGAAGGGGAATTCTCTCATCGCCTCTGAGTTCAACCGTGCGCCGAAGGACTCAGTAAACACTGGACGTTAATCGATTGAGCTATCCAAATGTCACTCAAAACAACGGCAGATTCAGGCTCACGATTAGAACACAAACAACGGATCTCCTCAACCTCGATTGCAGAACTATTCGTCTAAATGTCAAATTTGACACAACGCAATTCTTTCAAACGCCAGCTCATCAAGAGCCTATGGAATAACCGCTAGAAGTAGTTAGATACATAGTGTGGGGCCATGGAGAAGGTTGTGGTTATCGATCATAGTTTCAATCTTTTCCCTCTAATTAGGAGTACGGGTTCAGGTAAAATAGGTATGAGTAAAGCAGTTGAGGGTTGTGATGGCACTCTGATTAATTTTCAACCACACGGCCTTGAGCGATGGGCAGACAATTCTGAAGCACAGTTCAACTGACCCCATCGGCACTCAATCTCCCATTTTCTACTTCAACCGGGTAAATAGAAACAGTCAGACTTCTATCCGAAATAGAGGTTATCCGGGAAATAAGTGATGATTCAGGTAAGTTTCGAGCTTTTCCGAATGGTTAGTACATCAGTGTGCCCATGTTCAGTATGCGTTCTGTGAAATGATACACTTCTCCGTTGGTTTGGCTCTCAGTCTCAGCTTAATTGCTTAGGTAATTGAGGTTAAATTTTGCTATCTGCGCAGCTACATCTCATCTAGCGTACGCATCACGGATGAAGCATCGGCACATATAGAGAAGGACAATAAAATGTGATGAGGGATTCACAACCATAACCTTCAGCTAGCCAAAGTAAAATAGCAAGGTGGTGTGAAAAGCGCAGTCCATTGGGGACCAGTATCCAGTCTTGTGGTCAGGGTCCAGTATCAGATATCATTCCTTTAAAAAACACGTCGATGCTCCTGTAGATGAACTAACCAACAAAATCTTTTTTCACTTTTAGCAAAGTTCCAGACAATTCGTCGAATAGGTACTTTCGTTTAACAAGTACACAGTCTTTTTATGTGAAATTATCACGTTCAATAAGTGGATGCGAACAACCATTCAGCTGAGTTTTAAGAATTTTTCAATTGGACTCGCAACTACTTCTAAGTAGTGATGCGAACTGATGATGAAAACTCTCTGTTGGGAGCGTAGCTGTTTCGTTTAGCATTAACTAGGAAAGCAGAGATGACGTGACCACTGTTCACTTGTTCCTGAGTGAACTGCGATTCATAGATTTCTTTTTTGTGGGATTAGAACTAAAAAAACTATTCTACTTGATCAAGTCATGATAACTAACTGACCAGTGTGCTATATATAAATTTTGTAACAGCTGCAATACTAACTGGCAGTATAATAACAAAAGAATTGTGCCGTTTGTAATGGTATTTATTTAGTAACCATACTTCTGGATCCAGTTCACCTGTGAAACAAATGATTAAAGAATTTTTGTGAAAAAGAAGTCGATTCACGATTTGTTCATAGTTGTGAAGCAAAATTCTCCTCAGTGTGCAATTCGTGTTATCATGGAGAGGAGAGCTCCGACCATCAGTTAATCCTGTTGGATCATTCGTATATTCATTTGTGGCATGCTTTTTGTGTGACGGTGTTGATCATCGCATTGTCCTTCACGTCATGTTTTCTATCTGCTTTTCACTCTCCGTTTCATTCGTCTCACATGACAATCGTTTGATTGACTGCTTCTTCCTTCTAGGAAATTGTGATTTATGCATTCAATAAAATGTGAAAAAACAAAGAATTATTTCACTGCCCCATGTAAAATTTTATTCCTTCTAGAACCGATGAGTTTTATGTTCAATATAATTCATTCTCCTTGTATCCATTCAGGTGGTCACCAACATCCAGAATCTGGTTAGAAACTTTTTCCACAACCCACCGGCGTTCAAAACTTCCATCATTCTATCCTGGCTTCAACCACTCACCCCAATTTCACCTGGATCTAAGCGCCCAGCCTCAGTCAGTTTGGATACAGATACGAAGCAAGGACCAGGCGCTGCGCGGAAGGAACAACCTCGTTATGTCCCACCAGCCGGTCAGTGGTCTAGGGGTGATCGCTTCGGCTGGAACAATACTAGTGGTGATAATCGACGTCGGGCTGGTGGTGCTAGTGGTCGCATTCGAGGCCGCAGGTGGTAGCGCTACAGACCCCTTCTATTACCCGTTCTATGCAATGCTATTTTATCCCGTTCTTCATATGCCCTCTATTTGTATACATGTGATTTCACTTTATCTGTTTCTGGGAACTGTGTCATTTGTTAATAAGTTCATGTTACCTGGATTTGTTCTTACTGGAACGTTTTCGATATTAACTGTTCTGCGGATTGAGTCAGCATCAAGTAATGTTCAGATGTTAACGATAGGCTTATATTAATATTTACGAAACTCGTTCGCTTAAATAATATTTGTAGGGTCTCATTGTGTGTGTGTGCTTAGAGCCTCAAAGCCATATGATAACGTGCACATCAAGGCGTTGAATCACTCAAGGATTTGCGATGCGTTCAGTATACTGTATTCTCCATACAACGTACCGCAACATTACAGCATTTGAATAGGGGCAATAGCCTGTTTTCGGCCGTTGAAACCAGTGGAAGAAATATGAAAATAAAAGATTCCTNGACTCTAAGCTCGGAGCTAACAAAACGTGTATTGCCTAAGTGAGACAAACGTGGTGTGAACCTAAGCAGTGGCCAAGCTGCTTATCTCTTGAGTGGTGATAGGATGTGACTACTTAACTTCACGGCTGATGATAAATACTCAAAACGCTAGACTTCCACCGCCGTCAAACTGTTCTCATGGCGTACTCTATTGTTCCGGTAGGTAAAACATTGATTCCTTTTAAATCCAGTGCATTTGCTTCAAAATTAAGTGTTACTGAAGTCGTTCTTAAGATTCCATTGGTTAACGGTACGAATCGCTTACACCATGCTTCATTTGAGCAGGAAGCCAACAGAAATTCGATGCTAACTAAATCCAGTCCTTTGTTTGTTCTGAAACATCACTAAGTTGTTTAGTGGATTTCACATTGACTGACGGCCGTCGTAACAGATGTTGGTCACAAAAAGTAATCGTGAAACTCTGCGTTATACAGTGTATTCTGTTGTCTTTAGATTACAAACCATTTACAGTTATCCCCTTCATTAAACGGCTTATAATTGCCCTAACAGCTTATTTGAAACTCGCTAATGCTGTGGTTAATGCCGTGCAAAGCTGGAAACCTGTAAAGTTCATCGTTCTCCATTCAATCCTGATATGTTTCAGGTGTGAACTCGACAAAACTTGGTCACTTGTTTCGCGTTTTTACAAGGGTATTTCGATCAAATTTGGGTTCACTTGACTAAGTCTACACTCTGTTACGACAGTGTTCAATTTAATGGGAGTTTAGGATAACGGAATGCGCCAGAACTTTGTTCTTTTGTGTCGCGTTTCCTGGTCTTCTGAAATGAACCTCACGATCGGGGAGTGTACTCCGAACATATATATATATATATATATATATATATATATGTATATATATATATATATAAAATCCATCGCGAGGAGACTGCACATTGATGTGGTGTGATGGTTTGTACACCTCTGACCCATCAAGCTACACCGGATGGCTTTTGTCAAGCCGAAGATCTAATCATGCCTGGGAGGTCGAAGGGTAGAAGTCGGACGAAGTTCAGTCTCCTGGTCCTCCAGGTTAGGGGTTCGACTAGAACTAGCGTCTCCGTCGGTAAAACGTGTTGGAGGAATGATTGATCCAAGTTAATGGACCTCCAGTCTGCCTTACCGCTACCTTGCGGTTAGGTTCTTGTCAGAACTAACGGTTTTGGTTGAGAACCCTAATCGTTCTGCTTAGTGACTGTACACCTTGACAGTACCCGTCCATCAAACTCCAATGCATATGCATTGCGAGTTTGGCAGTCATCAGTGAAGTTCGCCTCCCTGTATTTCGCTTTATGAAAAACATATATGTATATAATGCGTGACGCAAATGCAAGTCCATTTTTGGAATAACCATATATGTTAACTGACTACTTTTCAATAGTCAGTTGTAATGAAATCTCTCGTTGTTACGTACAAACTAGCTTTACCCATCGACTTTACGTATTTCTCAGATTTATCATAGACTGTTTAGAGGGTGAGATAATTTAAATTAGGCAAAATCGTCGATGGACTTATCCACATCTAATCGATTCCTCAACTGTTTGCAGTGAGCTGATCTAAAGTAACGCTAGACTGACCGCGGTGTTCAACTCTCTTGAATTTGTCAGATGACTTGGAATACGCAAGCAGCTAGTTGGTAGAAGAGTTTGTCAAGGAAAACATCCTACTCATCTGGAGTACGGTGGTTCTGTCTCGCTGAAAATTCAAATGCGATGTATGGGATTAGTGTCTAGTGTTGCACTGAAGATGTGGCAACTCAGTTAAACAAATGTAAGTCCTCTCCATTGCCGGGTAAATGAAAGAAAACTTCCTCTTCCCATCAGACCAAGTGGTCCCTAATGTTCAAATTATATTTGGCGTGCCACTCCGTATAGAAATCTGCAGAAATTGTTCAGTTTTATCATGTTTTGAATAGAAATGACCGTTGTCTGTAACCGGAGGTTTATAGCACTTGTGAAATATTCGGTCGCCCAATGTCATTTCCTGGACAAGTTGCAGCTCGATGTTGATTTACTGTTCAATGCAAAATGAACAATCTGAATACGGAGCAATATACACTAAGTGCTAGTAGAGTGATTTTATACCGCTCCTTAATATCATCAGAAATCAGATGATACTATCCGATGAGTCCGGAACAGAACAAGACAGTGGATGAGTTTCAATAAATTCGTGCTTTTCAAAAATCGCTTTGTCTGGTTCGCTTTTTATTCGAAGGAGGCAGTATATGGTCTTCCTTTATTATAAGAGTGCGAAAGGATTAAGAAAATATCTTTTGCGCGACTGATCATTCAGAGCACCTTGTTGACAAACATCCGATGCGCAAGAGATCCTCGGAGGTAAACGGAAAAGTTTATTTCATCTTCAACGGAAATAACCTTGCACAGGTAGATGTAGCTATGGGAAGACAGTTGGGGCCAACTCTGTCTGATGTCTTAGTGTTAACTCCAACAGGAGGTATTCCTTTCAATCTGCGTGTGATTAGGTCTATATCGGAGGGACAGAACGGCGCGTGTCAACAAGAACAAGCGAACGTGTCCCAAAATACCTTGGTTTTCGCGACGGAAAAACGCGTCGGCTGCCGTCGCTTAACAGTTGCTAGTCACCTGCTATGGAACCGAAGCGCGAAAGCAATAGGGTCGTTACAACATTTTGAAGTTCAGGGATTTTGCGGTTTTCAAAGTGATAAATATTTGTCTCTTGAAACCAAAACTGTCTTCAAAAAACATCGCGACGCAACTGTTGTTACCCTCAGTAGTGAACTCACACGAGATACCGCCATACCAGGAAGACAATCAATCTGATCTCCTAGCTGCAGTGAGATTTAATTTACCAACATTTACAGGACATATTAGGCCATCTACATCATTTTTGGTACTCATCCCTCCATTATATGAGGAGTGTTTTATCTCATACAATCGGGCAAGTTAACTCGCCTTGCCTTGAACGCGTACGAGTGCCAATTGACTTAAACTTAGAAGACGTATCAACGGCTTCATCGAGACGCTATTGAAATTTGGACACGATGCATACTTCGACGGCGTGAGTCAGAATTCTAGCAACTTACTGGTGCTTGAGAAGTCACCGAAAAGCAGTTTATCTCGTCCGTCGGCGTTTGCTCCCACTGTAATTTGTGAAAATGCATGTGCTTTTGATTGGCTATTGTTGAGAACATTTATTTTTATTGTAGAATATTGACTTTAAATTGGTGCCGTATGCTGAATTCGTGGATAGATGCTGGTAACATGCGTGAAACGCTTCCGTTTTTTATCGACCACATCTTGGATTCTGTGATCCGACTATGCCCAAATCGCGGTGCCTGATTCTGTACTTTTTGTACCTACAGATCAGCTATTGACTATTTTAAAAGTAGTATCAACCTGGTTTAAAAAATGAAATAACTGGTCTATTATGTGGATGGCGAAAAATGTGCGCAGCGGGAGGGCAGACGCTTTGGCATAATTGTTCAAACGATAAAACAGTTTTGGGTTTAGGATCGATGTCATTTGCGAAAGGAGGCTGCAGTTGTGACTCAACACACAACAGTTAAAAATCTCAGCACAATTCAATATTTGGATTCAGAGCTGCTGTATTATCTATTTAAGACCATTTATAAAACAATCAATCACTAGTAGCTGGTAGGGGTTTAGATAACTCATTCCGTCTCAAGGTAATCACATTGAAAGTGGTTTCTTGTAAGAACTCGGTCGTTGCGTTAGACGAGCTTATCCAATTTAGGTTTCAGCAAACGTGCTTTTGTTTATATCTTGGAGTCTATTCAGAGTGAAAGCCCAAACCTTTAGAGTCAGCTACAGCATCCGTTTTTTCCCTAGACGAGTGCATATGCTTTTGGTATTTTTTACTTAGAGGATCATCGTAAACTGTTCTTAGTATTTCATTCATTCCACATTAGTACTTGTGCTCGTACTTTCAACTGAAACGCATTCCCTAGGTTCTCGCGCTTGATAAAAACTGTCAATTTACGGTAATTATAGATGAAATCCATTGCAACAGCTGGGGTCAGTGTGTTTAAATTTTGCGTATTCAAATTCAAATTTTTATCATGGGATATAACTTACAAAGACTTCGCTTTTACAAATCCCATAGGGTGTTTACACATGGGTTCGGATGAAGAATCACAATATCACCGTTAGTCCATGAAAGTAAAGTAGTAAATTAATGTTTTGATGAGCACAGAATGTCTTAATTCTCCAGAGTTATCTTTCAAGCGGCTTTGTTACTTAGAGATGTATTTAAATCTACATGAGAGTAGTGCGTTTTATGACTTGATCAGTGAACTTCGTCGTGTACAGAGCAAAAGAAAAGTGAACTGAAAAACTAAGAAGCACTGGACAGCTGTTTCAATTCGGTTGGGTATTAACCGTGTTAATCCATAGACCCAAATTAGGATCGAACCCGGAACCTCCCAGGTGGATTTTTCTAACCGAGTCGATAAGATGTCTTTAAACTTTGTAGATTATAATGGAATCTGGCTCACGTACTGTGGCAAAAGAACATGAATTTCTTGAAGAAGGTACAGTGTGGTTCGTATGACCTGGAAACAAAGACTCACAGCAGTATTCTCAATCACGGTTCACTATGCTGATGTGTACACCTCAGAAATGAGATTACTGGTCGGATTAGACAAATACGCTTGGGGCACGTGACCTATTTTTATAGATTTGTACTTTTTCCACACAACTAAGACAGTGTGAACCGTCAGTTTTTTGTTCTGATCACCCACCTTAGATGAACTGAATTCATTTAATGAACATCTATCTGTTTTTCCTCATAAATATTTTATATTTTCAAAATTAAGAATTTCGTATTCTACACTCCATTGCATCGCATACCATATGAAGCGTACACACACACGAAAGAGGTCTGACACGTGACTGACCTCATTGGTTCTGTTGCACTCTCGGATCGATCGGATGTTTGTTTTTTCTTGTTTGTGCACGCCAAGATCCATGTGTGTGTGTAGTTGTTGAGAACAGTGCAACTACGTACAGATAATCGGAAGCGTTGCATAACTTCTCACTCCATTTGCACAGCGGAGAAGTAGTTATCACCCACAATGGTGTAGCTCAGCGATGGATGTACTTGCGAACCTGATCACTGTGTGATGAGCTTCCTGATGCTAAATAAAACAGACCGTATGCCAAAATTGGATCAGACTGTTTTCATCTCGCCATCCTGAGTAGATTTTACTTGAGTTCTTTGATGCGTTAAAATTAAATTAAATTGTGTACATCTCAAGTACCTTGGATCGGAATAGCATCAGGGTCTATCTACTCACAGCTCCGTTGCATCTGGATAGGTATAATTGACGGGTAAAGGTGAATAGTTTATTTCATTCGCGAGTGGAAGTTCGATTGATCAGAAAATGCTGGAAAAACATATACGCCTTAAATTAAGAAATCACAAATAGAGGTCTTCGATAGTTACTGGAAGTTCTGTTGCTAATGTTTTCTGGGTTTACTACTTTTCATACATATGCTGATACTTCGGACCGCGGATTAATTTGTTGTTTCTATTGGTGTAAGATCCTAAACCACATGTACATAGTTATTTTTCTCTTTCCAACTCGATTGCGACAACTCAACTTTCTAGTTTTGAACCTATGACAAATAAACTTCCATTATCAACAGAAACGATGTTAGAGATGTGTGCGGTGCTTTTGAATGAAGGCTAGAGAGAGAAGTGGAATGTTGAGAGTAGTGTCCAAGAGAAACGAGGGCAATCTGGTAGACTACGGTTACAAAGAGATTTAAAGATTGCACAAGCACCAATGTTTGCAACACTCAACTATATCATTCAGTGATTATAACCATCGGTTACGCTGATTCCGAAGTCGGCTCCCAGCTAACCTAACGCGACCTATATTTTCGAGTCTCTTTGGTATGGTTTTCATACTCTCGTGACAGGCTTTGGTTCGTTTGGTAGTTTTTTACTACGGATGAGAAGGTTGAAGCAGTTACGCATTCATTTCTAGCACTTTGGTTCGATAAGCGTACGGTTAGCTTTAACGTTGACCAAATTCTAGCTTCCCTTGGAAAAGATAAATTGCTTGTCACTTTCGCCTCTAGGTTTCACGAGTATACACCAGTTGTAATCATCAACTATTTGAATGAGTTTCCGTATTCAATCTGTTGCCAACCCACCACTTCATCCGTTCCACTTCACTCAATCACACACTTGCTCACAGATGGATGCACCCGCATCTGTGCCCGTGTTCATAAATCGATGACCTGTGTTTGTGCCTTTAGCCTCAGAATGAGGTTACGATCACACTCGTGCACACGTAACAACAGTACACACTGAAATGCGCATCCACCGGCTTCAGTTTGACGAGTGCTTCCGAGCAAATTTAAAGTTTGACCGGCTAAATCCTTTTATATATGTTTCACTGAATCTGTGACATGTTTCGGGACGATGATAAATTTGGTCGGACTTGACTGGTCATTGTACAATGTGCTTGGAGTTGTTTCAGAAGAACCCTGCCAAGATTCATTGGTGAAATTTTGTTGTAGCGGAGTGATTTGGTGCAATATCTCACATGTCTTGAATAAAACAACCACAAACGGGGTCAGTCAATCAATGTGCATGAATTCCATTTCCTAACTCTTAAACACATCGATCAAAAAATTCGGAAAACAGTTCTGTGGCTTGTATTGTGCTGCAGTGCCAACTTTGCATACCATTTGGCTTCGGTTAAAAATACCTCGGAAAAATACAGATCAACCACCGTATATGATGGCTGCTAAATCACAACACTTACAGAAAAAGTGACATATGGTTAGAGGTAACCGCAACATTGACTAGAACAATGGAAACGATAATGTGCTAATTTAGTTTGGACTGAGCTGTTTGAATCTGACGGGATCCTTTGTGAAAATCCAGTAAAAATGATAGATAAGCAATAGACCACGGTATACCGTTTTAAAATGCAACTGTAAACTTAATTGGAAAGCGATAAGGTAACATAAAGAATGCAGGTAGACAGTAGCAGAAGGTTCGAGTAATAAGTTACGTTTAACATTGAAGTTACCCAGTTCTGAGACATTTACGCCAAACATTTCACGAGCAATAAGTGTCCTAGGAAAGAAAAAATATCGGATAAATTCATTGAACGCATTGATATGGATACAATGCGAGCCTTATTCAAGAGAAACAAAACTCAATCTGAGACATATCGTTAATGAAAGCATTTTATTCTGATCGTGGAAAAATGACTTCACATAACATTTTATCAACAACGTTCTTCAACGGACTTGCGGAACAAGCTACGAGAATATTACAAACGTATGCGGAAAATAAGGATGAGGGTGGAATAACTTATAGCAGCATCCTGGATTTTGAGATGAAGTTTCATGTTCTATGACCCTAGAGTAAGTTGGCTTTGGGCAATAAGAAGACCCAATTTCATGGAGAACTGCCAACAGACGTACTGAATCAACAAACACATCAGTGATTGAAAAAAATTGTAATGGTTCCCAGTATGTAACACAGGCTGCACGGTGTACTTAAACACTAATGACTAAGCGTCTGTTTTTGCGGTCGATAAACATCGTTCCTCAGGAATGAGTACACACTATGAGACAGAGTACGCAAACCTGGGAGCTGTCTAGATATAGGCACGCATGGCATTATTTTGACTTCGTATTTTACTATCTTTGAGGGAAAATTTTTAAACTTATCCCTTTCTACGCTGCAATTTCTCATTGGTCAGCCACGTTCGTAAGCATCGACGACAAGGTTTTTCGATAGGTTTAGTGGTAAAATGAAGATCGATGGAATGGATCCGTTTAACTTGTATGATGTGTGGTAGACGATGATCAATGCCCATTGATGGCCTTGGTCAGTTAGGAGTAGCGCAGTAGTCATTTTTGATAGTAAATGTCATGGTTATGGAACGGAGATAGTTTGTGAGGACAGAAGGTTTGTGCGCTTACGAATAAGAAGGATTGTTCACCCGCTTGAACGGTCTATCACAGGCGAACTATGCATAGATTCATGTATCATTCGGGTTTTTGCCTTAGTGGGAAGAACCCGTTCCAAATACGAAAGTTTTCCGAGATAAACCAGCAGGAGTCGATTGTTATTTTGAACAGCTTAAAGATATACACTAATGGCTCAATGATTGTCATTTACTACCGAGNTCAATGATTGTCATTTACTACCGAGTGACATGTTTCCGTAGAGAGTGATACGATTGATTCATGTTTACTTACCGCTCAGGCTTTTATGAGGTACATGCTACCGGGATATCGATTCCAGTGACTTTCGGTTATAGAATGTTTTCTTTGTGCACGTTTGTTTG